TTTTTTTTTTTTTTTTTTTTTTTTTTTTTTGCAGTTCTGGCAACAAGGCCACCTACATATGCCGAGCATCCATCTATCCTTTTCTAGCACATGAACTAATAAGAGCAGAGGGGAAAATGGCTGAATACAGCAAGAGGAATATTGCAGTTAATCACACAAAACTCCAACATGTGAGGTGGTACGAGTTCACTTTGCATGCTGAAGAATCAGTAAAATCAGTTTTGTTCTTCAGATTGGTAATTAAAGGTGGAATATCTGACAACTCCTAGTTAAAGACTCATTTGTAAATGGATGGAAAGGCTCTCTGAGTTCTCATAAAGTAGGTCATGCAATTTGTTACTCAACTTCAAAATAAATGTATTCAGATACTTTTCATGGATCAATGCTTTTACGCTTCATTATAGAGCAGAATGAGCTAGCCTTGGTCAAAAATGATCCGTGTTTTTGGTAGACTTGTACAAAACAAGTTCATACATTTGAGATAAGGGTCACTGAAGGGTCATATAAAACAAACAAACAAAAAAAACACTGAATGGAGAAATGTGTAGGTCATCAAAACTGTGAAACGGGAAACGGTAACTTAGAGACAGAAGTACACAGTCGACAAGAACCAGAGCAGATTTCCATTTTTTTAGTTTTGAAACTGCGATTTGGAGTTCATGAGATGTGGCAGCACCCCCTCCCCCCCAGCCTTCACCTTATATCATAGGTGATCCTAAACATCCTGGTTCCACCAGTTTTAGCATTGAAGGTGATACTAAGCACTCTCCTGGAGGCAGAGATTTTGAGTTGTACTGCCTTGTGTGTTTCAGTTCCTCTAGAACGTATGAGGATTTACGTCTCACATACGTATATGTCTGCAACACTTTGCAAGGAAGGCTCCTAAAAACTCGCCACTGTACTTTGCTATGAGTGAATGCGACCCGAGCTCAAATGGGGTATAAGGTACAAACACTTTCCCTAATGGCTGCAATTCTCAGCAGTGGTCCTTCACTGGGTACAAGCACACTGCTATGATTGTGTTTCCCCCACAGTCACAGTGGGTGCTTGATATATTTCTGTTTTTCTAAGCCATAGTGCAGCATCTGAATGACTTCTCAGTGCCCGCGCTGTACTCTCCTACCCCTGGTAATCAAAATGGTGTACAGGTGGACAAGCACGTAGCGATCAGAGCAGAGTCAAATGTTCATACGTTTGGATGAGGATGTCAGACGATACGCCACAGAGAATCAGTAAGATTTTGTCCGTGACAGATGATAACGATTTATTTATTTTTTTATTTTACAAGTGCGGTGTGCTGATCTCTGAAGGATCTATCTAAAAGGACGTCTTAAGATGGTATCCCGATTGCAGTGCATTGATTTTATTGAATCCAGATGGCATCCAGCATCAAAGTAGACAGGCCACAATAGTAGCCTGTGTTTGTATGACCTTCAGCCATTTGGTTCACATGTACGTCATTGTGTGTGTGTGTGTGTGAGTGGCCCTGTATTTGATACATTGTAAGAACCATTTTCCTAATACATAATACATTGTAGGGACCCATGGCAGAGGATCGACCCCTGATCGTCGATCCTCTGCCATGACTGCTGTGTTCACTGTGCTGTTGTAAACCTTGGCGTTACTGCAGTGGGAGGAGTTTCACACCGTGAAGGGTTTGTGCAAAATAAACAATTGTACCTAACCTAAACTCAATTCATACTTTAGTCCTAAACCTAGCCCCAAACCCTAAGTTAGGCATCAACTGGTAGAGGTGAGAAGTATGGAAAGCCTTTGTAAATATAGAGAAACATAACATGTGTGTATCTGTGTGAGAGAGAGAGTGTGTAAGCAGAAATAATTGGGTTTGTGTTGAGTACAGGTGTATGTGAATGAATTTGTCACCTGGAGGTGTACAGTTTGCAGAGTGGTGAGACGGCTGGAAGGCCTGCAACCCCTAGCGCCCACGGGAAGCAAAGGACAGATGGAGATGACTCTGGAGGGACGCAACAGCCCCAGGCAGAGAGACACAAAGCACCACCCCAGGGTGGACACACACCACACACAGAGGCAGGTCATCAGTGAAGCAAAGGAGCAGCAGCCCCAAGGCCAAAGAGGCAGAGCCCCCAGTGGCCCAGTGCCCAGAGCTCCCAACACACAGGCACACACCAGAAGGACCAAAGCAGGGAAGGCACCTGATGAGAGAGCCCCTGAGAGAACCATAGGGATGGACGCCAATAGCCCACCTGACACATCCCAGGGAGCCACACAAACAGCATTCTACCAAAGGGGGACGGCCCTTACCAAACACCCCCAACACCATCATCAAAGACCTGCAGCCCATCCTCACATCCTGGCCAGCACTGAACCAGTATAGGCACTGGAGCAGAAGAGGACCCCACCGATCTTATGGATATATACGGGTCCTAAAGTGACAGCTTGGTATGTTTTTGGAACACTTAGAGGAAGGAAAATAACAAAACTATGCTCTTTCAAAATTATCCATCGGCTACACTTTTCTAAAATATATCCCTGTTTCATCACAGGGATATATTTTCATTTGTGACAAATGTAAACCAGATGATGGGACTCTGGGCCATCTGCTCTGCTCCTGCCCTAAACGTATGGACTTCTTGCACAAGACATTTCAGTGTACAGTAATGTTGATGGCAGATGTCCAACACCTGATAGCCATTTGATAATATTGGGCTCCAGCAGGGTCTCGTGTTCTGTTTGGTGGCAGCACAGCGAGTTATTCTGAGGGAATGGAAATCCACTACCCTCCTTGTTTCAAAATGCCTTATTGATACAATCTCCTGTATTTATCCTGAAGACATTCAATAGTCTCTTCCAGGCAATCATCACAAGTTCCTTGGTGTATGGGGTCCTTTAAGCAGTAATGAGTAAAAGAGGACATCCTGACCATTTGGATAGTTTTTTTTTTTTTTTTGGTCATCATTATTATCATTATTTCCCATATGACTCTGTCTCATGCTTGATTGTGCCCTTTGGATTGATGTTCACATTAATTTCCTCTCAATGTACCAGCAGATTGTCTAGACTTTTTCTTTTGTTTAGTTTGGTTTTTATCTTATTTTGTCCTTTTATTGTTTTTTTAATGATTTTTTTTTGTTGCTTTTTTAAAAGTTCTTTAACATCTCAGTTTCTTGAAATTAATATATATTTTTTTATGTTCTAAAACTTAAAAAATGGAAAGATGAGAACTGACAAGATGGTTGGTTGTATTTTTTATTTCAATATAGTAGTATATGTGAGCATATACTGAATATATATATATATATATATATATATATATATATATATATATATATATATATATATATATAACCACTGGAAACAGCTAATGTGCTTAGAAAATTTAAAGCAAGACGTGACAATGTTTTAAAGGAAAACATTTTCAAAATCACTTCTGAGTTTCTTTGATATTTCCACAAGTCAGTGTTCCAGCTGCACCTGAATGCAGCACGTGCAGCTGTTGGGAAAATCCCCTTTCATCAACAGGAGATCCCTCTGACTTACATCTTATATGACGTATGGATGCTTCTGGTCGCCCTTTTGCTGTACAGACAGAAGCATTGTACCTGTTGTCCAACATATGAACATTCTGAATGTACTTATGGAATCAAGAAAAGCTGTTTACGCAGAACCAACAAGGCCACATGGGACATTTTCACCTTTAAACCCTTTAAGTTGGTTGCAGTTGGTTTTACCGTTGATGCAGTCTGTGACAGGACAGCTGCTAACTACTTGATCTCTCGTGTCTGGGGTTAGTAATCAGTTCATACCAGATCTAGCTTCATGTGAGATAATTATAACATGTTTGACTGACTGCAGCTGAGGTCAGGTCACTTTGCTTCCCCTCTCACACTGTCAGATTTTTGTAAAAACCAGCCATGCTGATTGTCCGAAACTAGTGATGGAGACTTTACTCAACTGGGAATCATGTGTAGAATATGGTTAAAAACATTGTAGTTTACTCTAAAGTTCAAATGGTGAGACTATAAAGTGAAATTGTTGTTTTAAAATAGCCAGGGTAGTTTCATTTCAAGCTTACATGTGCGTTATCCATGCTTTCAGGAAATCTAAAGTCCGCATCCAGCATTGTGCCAATTTAAAACCATCTGAGTTGAATCTTGAGTGCTCAGGGTCGTCAGCAGTGTGCCGTGGCAAAACCCCCGCCCAAAAAAAGCTGACTGATGTTGCAAATGTCAAGAGGTGATGGACTGCAGCTCTCCGGCCTGGGAGCAAACCGCGGCTACTCTCTGTGTGATTCGCACTCTTAAAACCCCCCTCCGTCCACTCCCGACACTTTCACCTTCGTTGCATCATAACCAGAGAAACCCTCTGAATCAGAACTCGCACAAATACATAAACCGCAAAAAGTACGATGGAAAAAGAAAGATCATTATCACATCGTTTCGCCCCCTGCTAAGCCGTTCTAACAGAGTCAGGAGACAGTCTGAGAACGTTTCCTGAAGTTCCTAAAACAATACGTCCTTAGTGCCCTGTGGGTCCTGAAGTCGGTTCTGTGTCTTCTCAGAGACGCCATCATATCCCCTCGGATCAGCGTCCGTCTGGGTTGGTGGGCGACACCACACACTCTCTTTGTCACGCTCTTTGAGCGAGAAAAAGCAGGATGTCCCAGAATAACGTACTGTACCGTTTTGACAGGATGAGTGTGTACCTGTAGGAATGATGTTAAAAGTATTAAATAAAGCCTGGCAGCGATCTGTTGAGATGCAGTTTTAGCAATAGCATTTTTTATATTTTTCTGCAAAAAAAATATCATTTCTCAAAAGAAAAGAACAGAACAAACAAAAATGCACTGACATTTGTATCTGTCAATATATCCTTTTTCAGCTTTTTTATTTTAGACCCGGGTTTGCAAACCACATTGTGGAAAAGTGAAGAGTTTTCCATCTTCTAGTTGTACTGTTTCAACCATTGGCTATCATAATAAAACAGTGCTGAAAGTATATATATGAGATATTTAAGTCTATTTTTCTGCATTGACTTATAGAGGAAAGTACAAAGTTCTGCTGGAATTGGATTCGTAACATAATCAGACTGCCAGACGATGACGTCTCTCATTGCAAAAGTAACCGAGTCGTGATATTTGCAGCTGCTCATAAATGTAAACTGTGGGCTTTTCTGTTGTTCTTTCTTCGTGAGGACACAGAAAATAGTTTTGATCGTTTTCAAATATATTACACTTTCTCAAATCCAGAGTCAAAACTATATAACCAGGCCCAAACATTTACACAAATTCCTACTTAAATGTCCTGAGTAGCGGCACATTTTATGGAGTCCTCAAGAACCTTCTGACATAAATCTGGGAGGATTTTTGCCCCACTGTTTCTGCCCTGTCTTAGATGAGGCTTTTGGACACAGTCTATAAATAATTAGTATGGCACTAAGGCCTATGCAGAAGTCTCATTCTTAGCTACCCTGAAGTTAGTTTATGTGCATCCAGATTGAAGTTTTCAATTGGTAGAATGTAGTTTTTCTTTTTTAACTTCTAGTTGTTTGTGCAATCTCTCAGGGCCTCAGGTACTGAAGCAAAACCTTATCATGATGCTTCCACCACCATGCTTGACAGTTATTTCCTTTTCCAGACAAAATGTAGAAGAAACATGAGGTTTCTTTCAACTTCATTAAGCATGTTAATCACAAATATAATCTGAGTGTATATTAAAATCAATGTAGAAGACATGCAACAAATGGCTCGAGACCAGACACTGAACTTAGGATGAGGTTAAAAATCATTGCCTCTGCATCAGCAACTGAGCCTCCCAGCGACTCTGAGTATGAAAGTCTATTCTGATCATGTTTTAATAATTTGTGCACCCAATTCTAGTTCTTAAAGACCATTAAATAACTTTTAGCGTGCAAGAAATAGAATTCATTTTTAAAAGCCCAATTTTTTTCATTACTTCTCTAAAACTATCTCCTCCATCAAGCACAATGGGAAAAGATCATTTATTTGATTGCCTTGTTTTTAACTATAAAGCCAGACAAAGATCCAAAGAGTAGCAGCAAAAGCAAATGAGGAGGATTAGCAGTGCTTGCCAACAACTAGTGGCATCTTCTAGAACATACTGGGGAAATATCATCTCTGTCTCTGGACACTGAGCTGTTAGCATGTCATGACGATCATACGCCAGCCGTGTCTGCAGTCAGATTCTTCTTGGACTGAAGACTGACCACTACCGGAGATCCTGACTGCAAGAGCGTCACAACGACTCTTTGAAGAAACTCGGATGATTTGAGTTATGAAGACACTTAGTTTCTCTCCGGAGTAAATAATGTATTTTTGAAAGGAACTGAATTGAATTGAATTGAATTCCAATTAGACTCACAATGAGGGGATGCAGACGTCTGATGTGCGTAAATGGACTAAAATATTATGTCATGATGTCTGTTTGCATTTCAGTAATATTATTTAGCAGGAAACAAACTCCAATTACGAAATGGGCAGTGAAACCACTGAAAACTACTATCAATCATTCCCAGATGTTTTATTATTATTATTATTATTTTTTTTTTTTTTTTTTAGCAAAGAAAAAAAAACCTTTCCTCAAAGAAGGAGCTCGGTTCCTTTCAGTGTGTGTGAAACCGCTCTGAGATGGCAGCGCTCCAAAAACGCAGACTTTAGCGGAAGACATAACCTCGACTATAACATTTTTTTATTTTTTTCAATGGCTAACATCAGGCTAACACATCTTGGCACACAAGGCTTCATCAGAGCATCTGCTTTTGGCATAGCACCCAACCAGTGGAAGGTTATACGAGGAGGCGCACCTGCTATATGTTTTTCACTGCTTGATCTCATTATCATCAAGTGTGTTATAGTGGCAGGGCTGACAAGCTGCTGCCTCCAGCGGATTTACAAAATACCAGTAGAACGTGTGTAATTAGCGAGCACAGTCCAAAAGGCACCGGTGGTAAAAACAACAGTAACACCATATGCGTTACTGTAAGTTAGCTTATGCTTTCAATTTATGTAAAAGTTTATTACAGCCTAGGAAACTAAACTACAGCATTGATTCTACAAGAGTGAATTTCAGGGGAAATCTCATCACGTTGCTATGTGTCATCAAACAACAACATACTTTTTACACGTGAAACTCCTGATGACGTTGTGCCTTGACCTGTGCAAATCCTTGCATTTTTGTAGTTGGAAACAAATATTCATATTCACCCAGAGCAAAAGTGATTTACAGGAAGACATGTTGACTGTACTTCATGTCAGTTTCAACAGTAAGGCAGCTCTTCGTGAGGAAAATGTACATTTCAAGTCTTTTAACAGCTGAGTGGAAAGGAAGCATGCTGCTGGTAGCAACGAGCGCTGTCCATGGTGCTGAGCGGGCAGCAACCAGTTCTGAACCGTTTAATGCTGCGATTTGTACAAAAAGCCAGTACTCACAACAATATTTTTAGTTTATTTGTACAAACACATGCTGTCTTTACTGTAGTGTTTTCAACACATGTGACGCTTTAGTGAATCTAATTTTGTTTCCAGCAAAGCCAGGCTAATGAAGAGTTTTTGTCAAAACACTCTGTGGGGCATTGAGTGTCGCAGTCTAAAGGCGACATCGCACAGATTTAGACAAGTGCTAATTAAATGCCTCTGTAACTCTTTAGTCATGCTACAGTATGCCAACACTCTGTCTGCACTAATGAAGATTTACTTATTGTGGCTTGCTGATACTCCAACAGCATGGCAGTCTGAGCCTTTGATTAATTTGCTTTTTCTTTTTTTTCTTTTTTTCTTTTTTTTTTTTGCTTTTGCTTTGCTCTGTGTATGTCATGCAAATTTAATCTTCTAGAGGCAAGGCAATTATTACTCAAGCATATCTCAAAGATGTAATACAACTTGCTATTGTAATGAAATACCCTACATTTCTTTGCATTTAGACCTATGTACTGCACATTTCTAGATACAATACGTATGGAAAACAACAAACAGCAGGTTGATTAAATACTTACATAAACATTTGCTAGGGTTTAGCAAATGTTTTCTCATTTTTCTCACTGAAAATGTGTTACACTATTTGCGTACAAATCTAAACACTGTACCTAAAAACTGTAATCATGCTCGAAAGCAAAGAATAATGAAAGGCATGTCCTAATAACCCTGGTAAAAACAGGAATCTGAGAAGTCGTGACATGTTTTTCTTTTTTTTTTTTTTTTTTTGCATGTCTTTTCTTCCAATTGTAAAATTCAATCCAGCCAAAACACTTGCAAAATTAATTGACGCCACACATTCTGGATGTGTCATTTGCTCTTGTTAATTTGATACCCGACGCTGTTACTACGTCCTGAGAGCTCGCTAAGATTTTTTTTTTTTTTGTCCTTTTGACAGTATCAAGCAGCAACAGCCGTCCTCACAGAAAGCAGAGATCGGAGAATATGAGCATATAAAGCTGCTGCTAAACTAAATGAGCACAATTTGAATTCTGGAGCAAATTAAGACTCTCAACCGCTAATAACGACCGAGTCAAAACTTCATTCACTGGGGGCGACGCAGTGACGAAACCCCAAATGTTCATGTTTCTTTTAAAAATCTTTGTCGGAGCCTTCCTTAAGTTATGCAAATACCCGGCAGGACATGGAAAAAGACGAATTAAACCAGGTTTAATCTAAAAACCGCAACCTCAACTTCAAAGGTCCGTGTGCCACTTGACAAGCACAGCGGTGGGATTGATTCGGCAAAAACAATCAGTCCCAGTGGCATTTACAAGAAACTGGCCTCCACACTGTTCATTTTCAGCAGCAGGCATAGAAAGCTGCATTATTTATGCAAGTAGTTCCATGGTATTTTAAAAATGTTGAAAGCATAAATATGTGGACATAATCTCATCTAAAGAGGATGTACTTCATCTCTGTCTGTTAAAGCTCCTTTGTAAAAGTATTTACGCCTTTTTTTTCCACATTTTGTCAGGTTACAATCATACATTTGAACGGTATTTTAGTGGGATTTGAGACATAACATAGAAGAAAAATAATACATGACTTCCAGGTGAAATAGGGGAAGGGGAAGTTTGCCAATAAAAAAAATCATTGTCATTTGAATTTTTGCACTCATTTGGAAGCCTAAACAGTTCCTTATACGTCGCTCCTCTTAAATATGAATCAGTTGAAATCAGCTGCCTCCAGAAGTCATTTTAATAATTAATAGTGTCCACCTGTGAGCAATTTGATCTCAGCATAAATCCAGCTGTGCCGTGGAGGCTTCAGAGGTTTTGTCAGAGAACATTAGAGAACAAACGGAGCCCCTTAGATCCAGGAACACGTCAGAAATGTTGGGGAGAAGGACGCACGGACTAGCATTAAAAAGTTCTACTTCCTGTTTAAGGTTTGCCACAAACATTGTGGAGACCAGTTTCTTGTAAACGCCACCGGGATTGATTGTTCTGCCGATTCGATTCCACCGACTGTAGCTGTCGAGCAGAATGCTCTGTTCAGATGAGACCAAAGCTACAAGCGACACAGGTGCGTAGAAAAACCAACATAACCCTGAACAGAAGAGTCTTCACAGTGGAGCATGACGCCATTATCCTGTGGGGATGCTTTTCTACAAAAGTGACAGGAAGGCATGTCAGAGCGGATGGGAAGAGAAATGAGGATGAATTCAAGGCAATACTAAGAGAGAGCCTGTCTCCTGTTGAGCCCTGAGTGCAGATGTTCACCCAAACAGATAGCCAGAGTTATCGTTTAGATTTAGATCAAACACATTCGTGTGTTGAGATGGTCCAAAAAGTCTGGCCCTTGAATCGGCTCAGATTTTGGGCAAGGCTTGATCATGTATGGTCTCCATCATGGCTGACCGTGGATTGAGACGTTTCGTAAATAAAAAATGTGCAAAGTTGGTTCAACAAAAACGTACACCAAAAGCAACTTTGCACTTAAAGGTGGTTAATGAAGTGTTGACATGGTGGGTTTGAATACAAATGCCCGCCGCACTTTTCAGATTTTTATTAGTTAAAACGATTAAAAGCTTTTACCGTTTTCCTCCCGTGTCGCAGTTTTACGCTGCCGTCTCAATGAGACCCCAACAAATGCACAGAAGAGTAGAAATATGGTAAAAAACTAAAAAAAAAAAAACAAAAGAAAGAAAAAGGGTTCAAAGCACATTAAATGCTTTGTAAGATAAATTGCTTTATTTCTCTGGTTAATGCTCGACTTGACTCTCAAGAAGCAGCCATCTTCTGCAAGCGCAGGGATAAAGTCGTAACTCAGCTTGTTACTAAAGTTTCACTGCAGGCCAACCCATTGTCAGATTTCAGTCTGACGACTCCTAAACATCAGGATATCCAAAAGCTTGATCCAATAAAACATCAATACACCTCAACAACCACACCCACAAGATTACACCACCTACCTCCAAAATCAGGCCTTAGGCGGATATCATATCCCTTCAGCAACTTGTCCACGGTAGTCTTGGCCACAGACATTCCGGTGCTTTCGTTGGAGGAGCTGAGGGCAGAAACCACAAGCTTTAAGTGCTTTATCCCCCCACCCCTACAATCAGCACCAACAGGGTTGTGTGTTTTTCAGAACTTGTGTCCACATTTAGTTAGAAGTTGGAAAAATTCTTTTAACGAACACTTTGTTTGCAACATTAATGGGCAGAGGGCTTATTGTGTCTAAAAGAAGCTTTTTTTTACCAAGAGGAATGGCGTGTTTTTTAACACCTGACATAGTAAAGAACCTATCTTCCTTTTATATATTAGTAGTTCTGATGTACTAAACAGTTAGTAGGATAAGTACAAACTGCAGTAGTTGGATCCAGAGCCTGATGCACACAGCTTGTCCATGAAGGTCCAAGGCCAACTTGTACTTACAACAGTTTGAACAAACGCTATGCTGTCGACCTTTAACTGTTGTTTGTACCATGTGATTACTTACACAGGAGATTGATCCAGGAGGCGGTGCACCAACCAAACTTCCTACGAGAAACAAATAACGACAAAAGAACAGGCGCAGACGGCTAACAGTCAAATGTGTCCTAACGTTTCTGGTTACAGAAAAGTGAAGCGGTGCATAAATCAATAACATAGCGTTCGCTTAGTTCTCATATGCACATTTTCTGTTCTCGGTGTTTCACACGGGAAGATCAATGCTGGTGCACCGCCTCTGTTCCCTGTGTAAATAACCATCAGGCTCAGTGTAAATAATCAGTCCGTGTAAATGTGACGACGATTTACAGGTTTATAAATTTGCGTGCGCCAGAACAGCCGTGACGTTGTTCTGAGATCCGAGTCGTTTGACAGATCTTTGGACCCCGGATCTGTAGACCCTGGCCTCTTCTTGGACCAACATCTACCTGTCTGCTCTGCTCTGGGTTTGTTCAAAAATAAAGTTGCAAAGACACCAGTCATTTAAGAAAGTAACAGAACACTGCATCAAAAAAAAAAAAAAAAAAAACCCTGAGCTACCCCCTTGAAATCACATAGTAACCGTTTAGAGATGTGTCATAAAAACGAATTAGTGCTGTAAAAAGAAAAAAGAAAAAAAAAAGTTAAATCTGGGGTAATGGTTGAAAATTCAGCCTTTATGCATTGGACTCACATATCATGCACATCCATCTAGTCAATTGTAGGAATGTTCTGATGATATTTCATTTATGCAAGACTTTCAAGAAGCTGAGAATTAACTCAGATTGAATGTATTCATTTTTCCTACAAGCTCCATCCTATTCACACAGTTGTTTTATAGAAGAACCAGAAAACAAAAAAAAATAAAGCCTCCCATTTTCCTGTCAGTTTGAGCCAGGATGTGGACTATTTTATTCCCCTCTCGCTCAGGTCTGACTATAACACTAATAATATGGGGTGACATGACCTGCAACCCTCTCAGCTGGTCAAGTTCTCCACTTGATGTTCCTTTGTAAGGTGCAAGCTTGAGTGTTGAGGGGGGAAAAAATAAATTAAAAGGAAGGAAGGAAAAAAAAGGTTGCCTGAGTCATGGAAGCACCCTTTTATTAACTCACTGTGCAGTTGTTCATCACACTGGGCGCTTTCAAAAATCTCTATAAGCTTCAACACCTGGCAGCGTCAGCGTTGGGGTTATATATGAGAAACCGTCTTTCATACTGTGATCGGGTATATAACGGAAGCAAAATGTCAAAAAAAAAAAAAGTGCAGCCTCAGTCTCAGCGAGCACCTTAAATCTTTTAACTGACACCATGGACCGCTGCAGACAAGGAAACGGAGTAGGCCACAAGGGATGTACATCAGTGTCTTCAACATCAAAACAATGAGGGAGCTGAGCAGCAGATTCTGGCTGCTGTGATGTTTGGAGAGGGCTTGTGCACAAAATGTGTGCTGTAAACATTAAAAGGCCCTGACATGAGCTGATTTATTAAAAGGCTCAAAAGCTTTCCCAGCTTTCTATCTGGAGAGCTACAAGCAGAGGGAACCTGCAGGGATTTTTTTTCTCCTTCTTCTTTTTTTCCCCCCAGTTCTGATTGATTTGGTTCACTTCCACGAGGTGGCCAATTAGAATAATTAAATATGTAACGATGTTACTGACCACAACTCATAAATCCAGCTGTTGATCTATCTAATCGCTACAATGATGCGTAAAAGTATTTTTTTAAAATTATTATTATTATTATTATTATCGTGGACTGTGCACCAAACACATCTCCATTTAGACAGGAGGAAAAGGTTACATTTCCCAGTTGGCTTGCTATGATGCACGCGCGTGTTTTTACGCTCGCGCGCGCCGCAGCTCTGTCTAATAGAGCATACATCGGCAGCGATGCCCCTATAATGAGCAGGCCTGGGTACCCCCTTAATGCGATTTGCCACATTTCGGGTTGTTATTGATCCCTAATTAAATATGTTGGTGGACATTTTTTTTTCTTTCCGATCAGTTTAAATGAAGATTATCTTACCTTTGAACAAAGCATAGGAAGGACAAAGCCACCAAAGCAGAGAAAATTCCACATATTTTTTCTTCTTGACGACCCAACATCTCCACGAATCCTTATAGTTCCTATAATCCAACCAGTCCCGTGGTCCTCCCGAAAACGCACAAACTAAGAAATAAAACAGGCAACTAAAAAACAAAACAAAACAAACAAACAAAAAAAAAAAAAAAAAAAAAAAAAATCCCCTTTTATAAAAAAAAAAAAAAAAAAAAAATCAGTCGAATTACTCGCCTACATCTATGCAGACGATTTTAAAAAAATATTATAATGGACAAACAAAAACAAAACAAAACAAAACAAAAAAAAGAATAGAAAAAAAAGGAGGGGGGAAAATCTGCTGTTTGGACCCCGCTGTTTTCCTTTAGCTATGGAAATCCGTGCAGGTCACAGAGCCCCTCGACCAACACCAGAAGATCAGACATCTTTGCTCGAATAAAAAAGAACAGCATATAGGATACTTTTAAAAGTGATGACAAGTCCAGTTGAGGGGGGTGGGGGGGTAGGTGGTTGGGGAAAGGAGGGGGAGAAAAAGGAAGAAAAAAAAAACAGCAAACACTGGCATGAATGGCTGAAGCAGCAGCCTCCTGACAATCAAATCGGCGGATGAAATTTCCCAGTCCAAATCTGCAGAAGAGGCATGGTTCCAGCGTTGCTCCGGCGCCAGTCTTCACCCACAACGTGATGCTGTTAAAAGATATTTGACTGAGCTGAAAACGGTGGTCGGCTGATGTGTGTGCGTGCGTGCGTGCGTGTGTGTGTGTGTGTGGAGTGGGGTGGGGGGGGGGGCGCTGGGGTGTAGGAGGGGGAGCGGGG